AAAAAGTAGGATAAAGCTGCAATGATTAAAGAGAAAATACTCACTTCTATTACTTGAAGAACATCCATCGTCGGTAGGTTCAACGTGAGATTCTTTGTTACTTGCATTATCTTCTAAATGTTCTGCACACTTCGGTTTGCTATTACTTTGGTCCTTCCCATGAGTATCTAACCAACAAGCAAGTTTGTCATAATTCAGTGCAAGTTTGTCAATGATGAATATTCATATTTGAAGTAATTCAATTCTCTGGGAATGAAATAGAAATATAAGAAACATGTCATTAGATATGCACTGATACAAAATGTAAAGTAGAACTAAAATCAAAGTGAATGAAAGCATGGTCATTTTCATTTACCTTAGAAAGGACTTTTCGAAGCTTATCGCATCCAAGCATATCAACCATATGTGCAACACAACAAAGATTTTTGGGGTTAAAAGCACTATCCTCGCCTTTTCTATAATATTATCCATCACTCCTATTTTGGTCTTTGATTTTTGTCCAAGAGATACTTACTGTTGTAACCCATGCATATATAAAACATTTCATACAATAAAATAAACTCCTTAAAATCTAATAGAAGGAAAATAGTTTATAACGTAACCCAAAAGACACACAAATAGATCATACAATCGACAAATTAATCCCTTTTTGTTATAAATTTTCTTAATCGATACACAACAGGGCAATGTCTTGAACAGTTAACACCAAATATGAGAGATCCCACATCGGTTGGGGAGGGAACGAAGCATTCTTTATAAGGGTATGGAAACCTCTCTCTAGCCGACACGTTTTAAAAACCTTGTGGGAAATCCCGAAAGGGAAAACCTAAAGAGGACAATATATGTTAGCAGTGGGCTTGGGCTGTTACAAATGGTACCAGAGCCAAACACTGGGCGATGTGCCAGCGAGGAGACTGAGCTCCAAAGGTGGGTGAACGGTGTGCCAGCAAGGATGCTGGGCCTCAAAGGGGGTGGATTGGGGAGTCCCACATCGATTGGAGAAGGGAACGAGTGCCAACAAGGACGCTGGTCCCCGAATATCGGTTGGGGAGGAGAACGAAGAATTCTTTATAAGGGTGTGAAAACCTCTCCCTAGCAAACGCGTTTTAAAAACCTTGAGGGGAAGCCCAAAGAGGACAATATCTGCTAACGCTGGGCTTGGGCTGTTACAAACTATGGAAGACGAGGAAACAACTGCCTTCCTTTATTTTAACAAGGTCATGTATAACACTCAAAGTCATACCATACGTTAAACAGAAAATGTCGATCATTGACAACGCATATAACGAGTTACATAAAAGAAGTAAAATAAAATTAAAAAAAAAATAACAAAAGTAAAGTGGAATTATAATTAACACAAAACTAAGATGAAATAAAAAAACTTTGTCCCAGGAATTTCAAAGCCTGTGTCTATAGATCCTTTTAAGACATGTTGTATAGATCCTTAATTTATCCCTATAATAAATTTCACACACTATTAAGAAATGATACCTTTTCTGTCCTCAGCTGACCCTGAATCTTTGTCGTTCAAATTTTCGTCCTCCCCCGATGCCTTACTGTCCTCGCACGTATTACTTACGTGCTCCACCTTCCTAGAGCCTACAAAACTTGAAGAATTCCCACCATTACATGACTCTGCACAAGTGACCATCTCTTCCTTGACTGTGGTTTCAATCCTATGGCCCTGCTGCTGCTGCTGCTGCTTAAACCCTGGCCCAGGTCTCCTATAGAACTTCGGCCCCACTTTTACGGGATCGATATACCTCTGTTGCCTCCTTGAAATGACCTGCTGAAGGGAATAGCTCACGTCTGCCACTGAAAAGTACTGTTGCATATGAATCACGGGCGTCCAATTACACCGCCGCTGCTGTATACACCCAATAACCACATCATACTCCCCAGGCTCTCCCACAGCACGCAAGTGATGGCAAAGGGCATCAATCATTGCATTCGCAGCAGCAAATTCACTTCGCAACCATGAGATAAACCCATCACGCTCATCAGGAAACCAGGGGCGGGGGTGGTGTTGATGGATCTCGCCACCGCCACCACTCACCGCAACTCCACCGCCACCACCACCACTCTGAAACGGAACTTTATCCGGTACGCCCACATTTCCCGATGGCATAGCCATGAGAATCTTCTAGCCAGATAAAACACTAAAACCGCATATACAGTAGTATATCCTCAAATCTGAGATCCAATAAATAAAAAAAAAGTACGAATGAATTTTCATTAAAAACAAACAAAAACGCAGTCCAAATTCTGAATTAGAGATCATAAACACAAATGTCACACGAATTGCTTAATATCATCACTACCCATCAATCATCGACAAAAGTCGATAATGCACAAACGAAAAGAACATCCAACTGGGTTATAATCAAATTACTATTCCGACATAAATCCAAAAAGATTACCACAACCGATAAATCAAGAACACAAATTCTGACAATTCGATAACGAGCTACAGAAGAATTTAGCCGCGACCCCAATTGAATCAGATCTGCAAAATGGGGTTTGACGAAAAGCCCTTTTTAGACTGTGCTTGTGAACAACGCACAGTGAAAACTCAGTGGCGTAGGGTTTGTAAAGGGAAATTTGGATTTATAAGATCTAGGGTTTGTAAAGGGTAAACTGAGGATGGTTTTAACGAACACCAATGTACAATGGGGGTCTTAAATGGTGACTTCTCTCTCTAGGTCACTCTCTCTCTCTCCACTTCTGGGAAAAACAACTGGGAATTGAAGAGGCACCAACATAGGATATACTCTCAAATTCTTGAGCTTTAAAAGGGCATTTTGGTAACTCGGATTTAGGGTTCTAAATTTCTGCTTTTGAAGTCCAAAAATTTGAGCTTTTAATTCATTTCCGACATTGCGGATAAGCTCCCTTATTATTTGATTCATCTTAGATTCACTCAAAATGTTTTAACTAGTTTAAAAAAAAAAATTACAAAATTACAAAGATACCATTTTTACATTTTTTTTAATTACTTTAAATAAATAAAAAATTATTTGATTAAATACATATTCTATTAATTAAAAAAATTAATTCAATTTATCCAACTATTTTTTTTTTTTTTTTTAAACCACTTTTAATCCTCGAAAATCACTTCTTTTTTTTTTTAATCTAATTTGGTGAACATTCTTCAAATCTTAACTACATTTTAGATTTTGAAGGATTAAAAAAATATATATTTAAATATTTAAGATTTTTCAGTTAATTTATTTTTGTCTATAAAATATTTGGTTAAATTAGAAATTTTTTTTTTTAAAAAAAAGGATGTTGATTTAAGCTTGATTATGGAAGAAGGGAGTGGCTCTAATGATCACATTGATCATCCAAAAGCATTTTTTATTTTTCATAATATTCGCCATGTTCTTCCTGATTATTGGGTTTCTAAATCTTTTCATTTATCCATTTTTAAACATGATTATTATAAGTTAATTACAATTAATACTTAATTATTTCTTTTATTTTTCAGGCTATCCCTCCCATGAATGACAACCCAGTAGAACATTTGGATTCTACTTACAGACATGTAAGTGAATCACCTAAAATTTTGTTTTGTTTTGATTTCTTTAAGGTTTTTCTTAATTAAAAGAAATTGTTGTTGTCGATATGATATGCAGGTAGTGGATGTGATTTTTACGAGCCTTTTGAATTTTTTAGGCAGATTAGGCGGTCTCTATATTAATCTACGGGGTCAAGGTTATCTTCAAATTTATTCTCCTCGAGCCTTTTGGGATGTTGATTCATTTCGAGAAATGTTGCGTAAGATTTTCTCTTTTATATTGTTGAAGAGTTGATCCTATGAATGGATTCTAATTAACGGGCTAATACGAGTAATGAATGCAGGGGAGGTACTTAGTGATCAGCATAGGGTTCCGCAAGAGAATGATGCAATTATTTGGCATAATACAAATTTACAATCTTTGTTTAGTCTCATTCCTCAAGAGCGTCGAGTAATAGGTACGTTTATAGTACGTAATCAATTTGTGGCTAGAAAGTGCTGATAGCTCGGTTTGAATATTGACCTCCATATTTAAGTTTACTTAACTTAGTTTTTATGGATGTTTATAGGATGCTTGCTAGAGGATCAGTATGGAAATAAACAAGAAATTAAGATTCATGACTTTTTGCGTTTTTTGGTTCATCCTAATGAAAATTTGGTGTTTGTGGTATGTATCACTTGAAAGAAAGCAAAAGCGCTTTTCTCAACTAAAATTAAGAATATTTATTAATTTATTTATCGGGATTAGGTCGGTGACTTTCGAAATTACCGAGTGCTCGAGGAAGAGATCGATCAATATGTCAAAGGTACTAATTTTTTTCACTTCTTTCTTTTTACATGATGAAGGTACTAAATTTTTCCACTTCTTTCTTTTTACATGATGAATTTTGGAATGATAATTCAATTAGTTAATGTATTAAAAGATGAATGATTTTTTTTTTTTTTTTTTTTTTTTTTTTTTTTTTTTTTTTTTTTTTTTTTTTTTTTTTTTTTTTTTTTTTTTTTTTTTTTTTTTTTTTTTTTTTTTTTTTTTTTTTTTTTTTTTTTTTTTTTTTTTTTTTTTTTTTTTTTTGTAGTTTCGGACCCCGGGACACCTATGAATCTGTGTGTCCGATTCATTTGTCAAGAATGTCAACGAAGATGGAATCTTATATAAGGTTAAGAGTATCTCGAAACGAATATCTCATGCTTAATGTCTTGCTTGAATTTAACTTTTCCTCAATAATTATTCAACTCGATAAACATACCATATGATTTTCGAGTTAATTTTTTTTAATTTTAGTCGACATTTAGTGCACATTTTGTGATTTCTTATAGTTTCAATTCTTTTAATTATGTTAATAGAGTTTGTAACTCATTTTATTTTGGTTTAAAAATAAAAGTATTTCAATTTAATCAAGAAGTTCATATTGTTTCAATAATTTTAAAATCTCATCTAAAGTTCATATATTTGAAAGTATATAATACAATAAATAAATCAATCAATCAATCAATCAAAAAGCATGTCATTTATGCGAGTGGGCAAGAGCCATGGTGGCTGCATGTCACTGCAAATCAATAAGTTAATGTTATGAAGGTCAAGAATGAAGAGATTACAGAAGTTATGGCAGATAAAAACACCACCAATAATTACAAAATTCAAGATTCGACTGACAAAAAGATATAAATCAGAAGTGTTCCATCGTATTCTTTATTCAGATCTTGTAAGCAGAAGAAATAGCTCCTCATCGGCTATTGCTCCCATTTCCATTGCTCTTTCTAATGCACTTAATCCTCCACCGTCTTTGATGGATGGTCGTGCACCTCTGTTTATAGAAGTTACAACAGGCAGAAACACAGGTAATGAAATTGTATAAGAACACCACTATCAATGTAATCGGCAACTTAAATACACTTCTAGATTGATCAAAGCCACTATAACACAATAGTTTTTAAATTGATTTGTTCCTTAAGTTAACACTTGTGTCAAATATGTTTCATCTGTCAGCAAACGTTCTAGAGTACCATTTTCGACATCAGAGAACTTTGTAGCCACATGCCAACAGCCTTTAAGTTGTAACAGATTGAATATGATGGCACTTCTTTTACATTTATGATGGAAAAAAAAAGTGAGCTTAAAAGCTTACCCCTCTAGTACCTCTTACCAGTATAAGTTCATTCTTATATATAATAAACTTAAGTACTGAGTCACCCACCGCTAACAGAAATTATCTTTTCTGGACTTTTCCTTTCGGATTTTCTCTCAAAGTTTTTAAGACGCATTTGCTAGGGAGAGATTTCCACACCCTTGTAAAGAATGTTTCGTTTCGTTCTCCAACCGATGTGGGATCCTTGAAGGGGGTGGACATCGAGCGGTGTGCCAGCGAGGACGTTGGGCTTCGAGTGGATTGTGAGATACCACCTCGATTGGAAAGAGAAATGAGTGTCAGCGAGGATATTGGGCCTCGAAGGGGGTCTATTGTGAGATCCCACATCGATTGGAGAGGAGAATGAGTGCCAGCGAGGATACTAGACCTCGAGGGGGGGAGGGAGTAGATTGTGAGATTCCACATCGGTTGAAGAGGGGAACGAAACATTCTTTATAAGGGTGTGGAAACCTCTCCCTAACAGATGTGTCTTAAAAACCTTGAGAGAAAGTCTGAAAGGGAAAGTCCAAATAAGACAATGTCTACTGGCGGTGGGCTTGGGCGGTTACAATCCATGCATGAGATCCTATTTTCAAACACTTTGTAATTTATTGCTTCTCTCATTAATATTGATAACCCCTTTCAAGTATTATGCTAATTTTCAGGTCTGAAGTACAGGAGGTGTTGGAGTATTGATAATCAACCTAAAGGATAGTTCTTCAATGTAGCAACTGCCACCCCCACCCAACCGAGAACACCACAAAAAATAACAGCACCAGCATAAAGAAAAATCAAATAACATAAAATAAGACAAAAGGAGAACATATTGTACCTTCTAAGTAGAAACTTAGCCAAGGTATTGTTTTTCTGGGAGATGCATTGGTGCAAAGGCGTACTTCCATTAGAGTCGCATACATTTATATTGGCACCGAATTGCAATAACAGTTCAAGCATCACTTGATTGTCATTTTGACAAGCGAGATGCAATAGTGAGCAACCTTGAAGACTGTTCTTTGACTCGCTAGAATCCAAATCTCTCCCACACAACGATGGATTATGAGATTCTTGATTACTTCCCGAGGGCTCCTCATCCAAATTCGGGCTCGAACTGACACTGACCACATCATCAAAAGTTGAGTTGACAATCGATACTGCTGAAACTGCTATGAGGCGATAAGCTTCTCGCAAGTCATTTGTTTTGACAGCTTCCCAGATACTTTTTGCATAAGAATTGTTGCCGGGTGCTTCACTATCCTTGACCACAAACAGTTTCTCTACATACTATATATGACAAAGATTGTGAGCTTCATGTGAGATAACTACGAGTATGAAAATACAAGCATATCCCAAGAATTAAGCCCTCAATGTAGTGAAAACAAAAAATATGTAAGTGAACTTGAATGACCAATAATCACATAATGTTGTGGGGTTGCTGGAAAGGAATTATGAATAATTAAAACAAATAAATAATGCAGATGAAAAATCCCTTGTACCTTGGCATGAACATATTTCTCCCGACGCTGTATGGGATCCTTGAGACTTGGTTTCGGAATTGGCGTGGCTACGTCGTGTTGTATATTATCGCTGCAAAAGTTCTTGCTTTTAGGATTCAATTGTAAATACTAGAAATTTTTTCTTTTCAGTCAGTTGCCTAATAAATGGTGTAAATATCTACTACCTTGAGAAGAAAGATATATTGTAGGAATATTTTGCTATATTCTGTAAGATTGTACAAAAGATCAAATTTTGAAATAAACTCAAGCATCAAATGAACAATACAACTCAAGGAAATATTACCTTCCCGTATCTGCAAGAAACAATCCTTCCCAAATAGAGTTACAATAAGCATTGCCCAAGTTCCTAAACAAGTCCAGTATTGAAGGCTCCCAGACTTTGACATCTAATACTATCGATCTTACCTGCATGAGCCAGGAATATAAGCCCATCATGTTTCCTTTTCACATGATTAGGTTAACATTTGTTTTTACAATTGTTTCTGGTGAGTGTCCAAGGTTCCCCTCCCATGTGTTTCTTGTAGATATTAGGCACGGCATTTATTTCAATAACATTTTTGCACACGCATGTTCCAAACTTTAAGAGTTCAAATATAATATTGCATTGTGTTATTACGCAATATTTTCCAATGCTAGAAACATATATAAGTAGGAAAGCCCAACTCACCAGCACAAAAATCAAAATCCATAATGATAACAAGATTGAGCCTGATTTGAGTACCTTCGAAATATGGACACCAAGATTACGATGAACACCAGAGCATTCTATGCACAACAAAATGCCAAGGTTTAGAGAGGCCCACTTAGGCTCTGGAGTGCCGCATTCTGCACATAGATCATTTCCAGGAATTTCTCTTAATATCTTAGAAACAGAACCTACTTGACTGCCATCTTCTAGTCTGTTTTGATGTAGTGTCTGTACGTTATAATCGTCGAAATTGTTGTTGTAACTTTCATCATGTTTTGCTTCCAGAAATGGCTGCAGAACAATTAAAAGGCTGTATCATAAGCATCCATGCTTTAATCGTTCCTTTGTTGCTCACACACAAACATACAAGAAGCTATTGGGACCAAACCTGTTGAAGAAAGTAAGAATTGAAAAGAGATGCAATAGCCCCCGTGATTTTATTGATCCAGTCCAGCCTATCTGCCTCGTTTTCGGCCTAGCCCAAAGAGCAAAAAGTATTAACAAAGATTATGTTCAACCAAACAGTGTTATTTCCATTCTTTAAGAGAGCCCAAATGTTTAAACAATAAGTACAAAGAAGTGGAAAACTTGAACTCCGAAGTTTTTTTTTTCTTTACCTTCCACTCAATATATAGAATTGAAGAAAGCATAGTATTAGGGACACAAAACTCCAAATCCTCCCAGGTACATTCAGATATCTAAGAATTTTATGTACAACTTCCATACGCTCTTTATTAGGACAGTCCATAAATCGACCCACCATGCTAACAACAAATCCAATATTTGGATGTGCGTGAGAAAGATAGATGAGATGTCGTACCAAGTGTTGGTATTATCCCACTCAACTGATGACATCTAATGATCAAGACTAAGTTTCTTCTACGAGTCCATTGGAGAATTTGTTGGTTTGCTCCCAAGCATGCCTGTTTCTTTAAGATGATCTAGTACATATTTCCTCTAGGAGACAACAAGACCTATATGAGATCAAACAACTTTCATACCTAGAAAATATTTGAGATTTCCTAGATCCTTGACCTCAAATTCTTTAGCCAATTCATTCTTCAACTTCTGCAATTCTGTTTCATCATATACTATTAAGAGAGCAATTTGAGTTTCTGATTTCCTTTTCACAAAGAAGCATTGAAAATATCCAAGGTTTATAAGAAAGTTACAAATCTACCAAACCATTCACGAGGGGAATGCTTGGGCCTGTAAAGGGCTTAAGTTTGCATGCATTTTGTTGGATCAACGTTCTCGAGGAATATCCATGTGCACCTCTTCTTTCGAATCACTATCTAAGAAGGCATTTTTGATGTCTAACTCTTAAACGGATAAAGACCCCAATCAAGATTGGTTTCTAGAGATATAATGATTCTTATAGTGCTTAGGGTTTAGAAGCAGATAGGAAGGTCAAACTAGAAAGTGCAAAGCAGGCTACATGCACTCACGGTTAGAGCCTTAGAGGAACTCAACATTCAAGTCTAGATGCTAGAAACATAAATAGCTGAGAAGAAAGCAGAAAAACTAGGATGAATAAGCAATTCAAGAACTTAAAAGAAAGTACACCAGGATAGCTAAGTCAACTAGTTACCTGCAAAGTGTAGGTCTTGGAGGGAGAAATTATTCTGAAGCAAAGTCGTAGGTCTGTATCCTCTGCATCCTTCTTTATTGTAGACGTATGCAGATTAACTGTAGAGCAACGCAAAATTTCTTCATTGAATGATGATGCCCTCTTGTGCCTTGAACGGAATCTATCAAAAACACTTTTGTGGTGTTCATTTGAACGATTGAAACTAAGAGATTGATGGCCCTGAAGGAGATATTAACACATTAAATTTACCAAAATTCGAAGATCAGGTCTCAAGGATTTATTTACTTTCCATAATTATTTATATTTCTATCATCATAACCATTGTCTAGAATACTATAAAATATAACTTACACATAAGGAAATTTTGAAGTAAAAGGTTTCACCTAGATAGAAAATAAAATTACAAAATAAAAAGGCGATTTGAATACATAGAAGCCCCAAGATCCATATAATCCGTAGATTGATCTTTCAAGCAAAAAGAATAAGATATAACAACTTCACATGAACAGCTGAAAATAAGAGCACTACACATAACAAGCACTTGAGGAATCAGCTCCAAACACGTCTCAAAAAGTATTTTTTACTTATTTCAACCAAAATTTTCATGATTAAGCACAGCAACAAAAACATATATATGCTTATTGAAAAACAATGTCCAGAAAAATTGCCTTCCACAAAAGAATCTCATCCATTTCATTCTCCTTCATTCACAATAACTAGAATTTCGTCCCACATATATGAAAAATCTTTTGCAATGCAGTTGGATGAATTGTATCTCATTGATATCCAATCATACGATAATATCACTAATGACAAAATTTGAGCTATAAAATTGATTCATCATCAACAACAAAACTAGTAACGTTGGAAGATCTTTATCTATACCAATTTCCAAATTGGGAACTTGATTCCATAAATAATTTATTTTTCAGTTATTTTCATTGTTTTAGGGAAACTTTTTTTTTTATTATTAGGTTTAATTTTTTCTAACAAGAAACAAACTTTAGCATTAATAAGGGAAAAAGTAGAATAATGTTCGAGGGTACAAAACTTTCTATTTTATTGATGATTGTATTTTGATCTTTTTCCCTTTCTACTACGATGACCGTCCTTTTACACAATACAGTCATCTGAGTATATCATACGACTACCTTTGTATAACATTGGTTAAAAACAAACCCATAATGTAGAAGTGAAAAGGAAAAAAGGACTCGGTTGGTATTCTGCTAAAAACTTAAAACCACCAAAAATGCACCATCTCTTATGCTACATAGAATTATTTATTAACAAATCAATTGCACAGAACCCACCAGAAAAGAGTTTGATGGGGTTAAATATTTTTTTTAATAAGCACAAAGTGCATTAAAGAACAATGAACCTCGGGGCTTAATCATGCCTCGCTGGATGTCATGGTGCTGAAGGTGCTAATTTAAAAAATTAATTTATAGAGAAGATCCCTAGCAATTCTACCAATGTAACAACTAAACGTACCATATATTTGTTTCCCTTGTTCTTATAATAATAGAGAGAACCTTGACTATCAAGTACGAAAAACATCCTTTTCCATTCTCCCCTCGAACCTGAAGATCGTTTCAAGAGATATCCTTGTTTTATAGTTTCAACCTACAGATGCAAGGACAAAAGAATAGTCAAATGATATCGCTGGAGACCTGAAATATTTTATTTTAGGGAAGTATATGCATACAAAAACTTATCATTTTCTAAAAGAAACGTAACAGAAGACTAATATATAAATGCTCGCTTGTTACTACGTTTTTTCCGAAATTTGTGTAAAATCTTCATCATATTAATTGTTTTGGCAGACTGTGAAATGAAATAATATCTTCACGTGTAGTAGAGTAAATTTCTGTGAAGAAAGCAACAATTGAAATATCGGAAAAGATATAAACTAAATTTTTTTAAATAAATTAGAGATAATAAAAAATTTGGCAATGAGAATGGGTCTTGGTTGGGGTTAGGTCCTCCGTCCCAAAAATTTCTCATCCCCATCTTAAGCATTGCTCTCATACCATATCCTAGAAGGTTCCTTTAGGAATTTTTCCCATCCCTAAACATAGATGTGCAGAGGACATGACTTCAAACTACAACCGCCTCCCACTTAAGATATTTCATATCATATAAGCTATAACTTATAAGTTATTTTATCCACAATGTTGAAGACTTAGGCAGTTGTGTTGTGAGACTAATCAAGATAGAGTATTAGTTGGCATACATTCAGAGTTATTAAAAGTGATCATTATTATTGAACATTTCAGGAGTTATCAAAAGAAATACATCAATAGCTTTGAAATATAAGAAAACATTTCAGGAGTTGGGTAAATCAATGGTATTGTGAAAAAGAAAATGAAAGAAAAAAACGTTCTTTACCTGCCCATTGACAATGAACATGGAAGCTGTTTCAACATTTCTGTAGGAACTAGTACCACTACCAAGAATGCTATCAGAAATCACGGAAAGATCTAGGCTATTGGAATCTTGCAAATTGTCCAGCTCTGCTTGTGACCTGAATTCCTGAATTCTTTTTGCAAGTTTATCTTGTTCATTGTTGGCCAGTTCTTTAGATTGTTGTGTATATGTTAGAACCTTAAACAACAAAACGCAAAAAATTACTAGGAAAAAAAAAGTAATTAACTTGTGCAAGATTGTGTATAGTTTTCCATAAAGGGTGGACATAGCTTATGTTAGGACATATTTCCAGCACTAAATCACAGAAATCTTCTTAAGTACAGCCACTATTCCTTAGCCATGCCACAAAGATAAAAAGTATGTAGAACCTACTAAATAAAATAATAAAATTGATGCTCTTGTGGCTATATATGAATGTAAATAGTACAGAAGTGGATTCATGGAACACTTTTTGCAAATTTTTGCAACCAATTCAGAATAGAATAAAGTTGACTATAGATGATAGACAAAAAAGAAGACGAAGTTTGTCCTCGCCGATAATGACAGACAAACTTCCAACTCCCAAGAAGAAAAAATAAGTTAACAAGCAAATCATCATATTGGTCCAAAGGGTAATATCCATACTATAATAAGTTAAATACACTGTGTAACAAAGCATCCAGAAGTGGTTGCGGTATACCTATAAACCATATACAAAATAATGCTACAGACCGACAGAAATTCCATCTCTACCGTGAATAAGCTTACACAGGAATAATTTGGAACCCATCAAAAGGATACTTGATGCAGCCACATGTCAGATAACCAAATGAAATATTATTTCCCCAATCTAGGACCCGTTCTATCATCTCAAATGTCCCACCAGAGACAGATTTAAACTAGATGATTGCATTAACAATGTTTTTGTCTCTAACTATATTGACTTATGACACAAGTTCTTCACACCAGAAATTTCGCAAGTTTTTGAAAATATAGGAGCATACCTGATGAATGAAAGGTTCCATCTGGCCCAATAAGTCATGGCCCTAGCTCATAAATAAATAAACACTGTTTAGTCCACATAATGGTAAAATCATTCAATCATGAAAAGCAATATCATCAAATAATTTAAAGGGCATACTAGCTTAAAATATCTCAAATGAGCATCCATCAGTGCACTTATAGATTCTAAGAACTCATACTTCTTCTTTGCTTCAACGTTCATGAGAGCATTCACCTACCGCCCTCAAAACAGTCAAAAAAAAGTTAGTGCGTAAAAAGACTAAAGAGAACAGGACAGCAAAAAACAATGTAATCGTTAACCTACTAGATTGAAGCGGCTTTTCTCGAATGCTGACTTTGAATTCAGGAGGTCCTGAAATAAGACTGGGAGGTCATCAATAAAATACTTCAAAAATATTATATAGAAGAAAATAGACCTTCATTCTCCAAAAAGAAAACCAATAGGAAACTCCAAAAAGGTAATAGGGAAGATAACAATGACACACCCAAAAGTGATTGTGCTGATGTTTGAAAATCATTTCATTCTCTTTTTCCCCCTTACTTGTCAAACTATTGTATGTACTACTTTGAAATCCTGGTTCGACTTGACCAAGTCATTAACAACTCTGCAAAGTCCTTGGACAATGTTTTTAGAAGAGACAAATTCCATGGATGAGTAAATATGTGCAGAAAAGGTTTCCTACATCAAAAGTTAACTAACGAAAAGGCTATCCTAAGAAGAAAGATTATAATCTCTAAAATGGTGTTTTTGATTACACCAATACACAGCATAAAATAAAATTAAATCTAAAAAGTTATCACCCAATACAGAGAAGCAGTAGGTCAATGTAGAAAGAGATGTCAAGGGTGCTCCAAATTAGAAAAACACACCATACAACAAGACGTAGAGGGTAAAATTCCTTTGACAGTGTCTGGCATTCTGTTCTTACATCTTTATACTAGTGTAAATGCTTGCAGCCATTTAAGGGTTACATCATTACAGCCTTGCTACACTTTAAATTATTATTTCTGTTTTTTTTTGGCGGATGGAGAAGGAACTCCTCGATCATCTCTCTGTAGCCTTTATTTCTTCCAAAGTGGAATCAAAACACGTAAAAAAAAATAGCTCCAAGCAGATCAAATGAACAGCTCCAAAGAATGCAACAAAACGGCCCAGCTAGAGAAGGCATCTCTCACAAAACCTGATCAAGAGTGTTAACTCTTCTGTGGATAATCGGCCAAGAAAAGAATGAAATCTTAATTGGAACTTCACCCTCCATAGAGTAGAAAAGACGAACTCACTAGAGGGAGAAGGGTCCAACAAGCAACAAACGAATGAGGTACAAGAAAAGCCCCCAGTAGGGTTAGGACTCCAAAAACGAGCATCTCTTCGCCTTGGGCTAATCTCTCCATGGGGAATCTTTGAAGCCAACGCTTAGTCAAAAGGATTATGTCTAACCTGCTATGCACCACTCTTTTTCTTCTGTTAGACCAAGTAAATCTGTAAGCTCACTCTCTCTTCCGTAGACCAAGTAAACCTGTTGTTCACCAAGGGGGTCTACAAGGTCACACTTTTCTATGAGTCTATTAAAACACTTCATCGACTTGGCAATCCTTCCTCCACCAAACTTTTCAAACGAGAATCTGGTTAAATCAAGTCTCCCGCTAAACAGCAACTTTCTCCACAAAGACCCAGAGATTACCAATCTCCTCCCTAAACGCCTTCCTCCCTTCAGGAGGCCCATACACACCTTGAGACCCACCTCACCTTTCAAGTCTTGGAACTCTACTACCACTGAAATCGAAAAGACCCCCTTCAACACCTCCATCGCTTTAAAAAGCCTCACATCCCACATTAAGAGAATACCTTCTGGAGCCCCACCCATGCAATTGGATGAATTCAATTTGACATGAAGAAGCTTGCGAAGATGTTGGATGAATTCGAATCTTCATGTAAATCTCCAATTCTATTTCTGAATGAAATCTCTCTCGTTTCTTATAATTATTAACTAATTAATCAAAGTTTAAAAATATTAAAAAGAATAAAAGAACTAAAAAGAAAAAGACCTTGTTGTCTCGCATACAGTTTCTAAATATACACAAGTACATCAAAACAACTGAAAATTAATTTAAAGGTCTAACCGTAGAAGTTCATGTATATCAACGGCCAAGAAAGTGAGAAAGACTATCCAGGACAAACTAATAAAAATTCCATACTAATATAGCAAGGCATACCTTTTCAAATTCTGCAACAATGTCCCCTCGTGTGTTCTTTTTCAATGACACAAACTTTTCCCGAGCCTAGCAATGAAGTTATGTTTCAAATGAAAATAAAGAGTCGTGGAAAATTTACATTTACATATTGTACACATATATTTAAGGCTTAGGATCCATCCATTCGCAACGTTCCCCCTACTAAGGTGTTTCAGTTTACTGGAAAAACCACCAATTATACCAATTTTCAGAAACATGTATCGTCTGGCAAGAAGGCTTCAAGCTAAGGACAAATCACAAAAGCAAGTATATACAAACACCTGATCGTACTCATGCATAGCTTTATCGAAGCATTGGCGAGAGTCCTGCGAAGTCAGAAGAATATTTTAAAAACAAACTCAGTAAGCTTAGAAAGAAGAGTTTCAAATGCTTACAAGCATAATGAGAGAGTAGGCTCTATTCAAAAGTTTTAGGGGAATTCTACAATTAACAAATCTAGAGCATTCATGGTCAAGCTCCTCAAATGCCTATTTTGAAAAATGTACCATGGAGGGCAAAAGTACCACGAAGAAAACTTCCAATTTTTTCTAATAAGAAACCGAGCATACATTGAAAGAAATGGAAAAATGTATGACATACACAAAAATAAAAGCCCAACAAAAAAAAGATTCCAAAAACTATAGGGAAGGACACCAATCTACAAGAATAAAGTCCAACGCATAATTGCAAAAAACCTTCGGCACAAATGCCTATAAAGAGACATAAAACCTAATAACTTCTCATAGCTCCCCTCAGATCTCTCCACACCTCTAAAAAGATAGAGAAAAAGCACGCCTACCAGAGAACAGTGTTTTTCTCCCAGAAAAGGAGAAAAGCAAAAGCTTCTCCATCATTACCTTGCAATCCCTTCTCAAAACCAATGAGACTCCAAGCGCAACTAAGAAAATGGACCATATCGACTGAGCATAAGGGCAACTCCAAAGAATATGGTCAAGGTTCTCCGAAGCATCACTGCAAAGGTAGCACCACCCAGCCCCCCCCCCCAAAAAAAAAAAATAAGTGTCTTTGTACACTTTCTAAATTGCTCACTCTTCTACACAAGACTTGCTAGTCAAATAACATGACCTAGGGTTATGACTAATGGCTAAAGGGAAGACCTAGATAAGAGGAAGGCAGTTCACTCACCTCACAACCGACTAAAGACACCCAAGTGTTCAACTTAGAATGCTCGCATTTGATACCCATGATGGAGCTCTTTCCTCTATTAATCTTGAGACCCGACATTGCTTCAACAGACAAAAAGGTGTTCAGATTAACGAAAGAGGNCCCACACCCCCCCCCCCCAAAAAAAAAAATAAGTGTCTTTGTACACTTTCTAAATTGCTCACTCTTCTACACAAGACTTGCTAGTCAAATAACATGACCTAGGGTTATGACTAATGGCTAAAGGGAAGACCTAGATAAGAGGAAGGCAGTTCACTCACCTCACAACCGACTAAAGACACCCAAGTGTTCAACTTAGAATGCTCGCATTTGATACCCATGATGGAGCTCTTTCCTCTATTAATCTTGAGACCCGACATTGCTTCAACAGACAAAAAGGTGTTCAGATTAACGAAAGAGGTCTCAGCACCAGCACAAAAGAAAAGGGAATCATTAAAAAAAATAAAGGTGCAAGGTGAAGTCTATCCATACTCACCCAAGAACCCTTAAACCAACCCTTATCCACTCTAGTAGAGACTAACCTGCTCAGAACATAAAGATAATATGAGAGAGAATCCCTTGCCTATGACCTCTAGTCGCAAAAATCCTTCCTCTCAGCTTCCAGTTAAAAGGATGAAGAAGTGAACATTTCTTACACAGCTCCACATCCATGACCTCTACTAATAACCAACTGCTTCTTCTCAAGGACTTCACCCAAGAATATGTAGTCTACGTGATTGTATTCAAAAATGAATCTTTCCATGTTTCTCTTTCTGTAATCATCTATGATCTTATTGGCCCCAAGTGCCTGGGCAAGGATCTGCCTCCCTGCAATAAATACACCCGAAAACTCCAAGTTTGAAAGACTTCCGAATAAACCATGGTGTTAGTTCTTATAAACACAACCATCCAAGAAAAGAACTTAACCTTCCGCTAAATTGAGATATTCATAAGTTCAGCAAATAAAAGGAACGGAACTAATGGAAGAAGAAGGATGATGTTAAATAAAAATAAAATAAGTATATCAATTTACAAGGAAATATGTCAAAGACTTGAAAGTCCATACTCTTTCATCCCTAAAGTTCAAGCATCACACTAACATTTGAAGAGGAGGATAAGAAGAACTAAGAGGAAGATGATGAAGAAGATGAAAAAAAAAAAAAAAAAAAAAAAAAAAAAAAAAAAAAAAAAAAAAAAAAA